CGAGATACCGCCTTGCCACCTTTCCTCTTCAACTTTGCTATTGACGAAGTCTTGGTGATCGCGTTCACAGGACACGACTTAGAAGGTGTGGATCTGCTCCCAGGTGAACGACTTCCTGACTTGGATTATGCTGCCGTTATTGGCTTAATCTGTGACATCTCACAAACATGCCAAGCTGCACTGGACAGATTAGCGCTAGCTATCCATCACTTCTAACTTTGCTTCGCACTCTCGAAATGCAGAGCGTTCCTCCAAGATTGGCGTGGACGGCCTACGCGGACCCTTGGTGGGGGTCAGCTAGAAGTAGTTCTAAAATTCACCTACCTGGGAAGTTGTATCAGCACGCCTGGGATTGGAGATGAGATCACCAATCGTATAGCAAAAGCCCGAGGTGCTTTTGCTAACCTTCGCGACATCACGCCCTGAAGAGTAGAGTGTACAACGCAGCGGTACGTTCAGCCTTACTGTACGGTTGCGAAACCTGGCCCCTAAGATCGGCGGACATAAAGAAGCTACTTACGTTCGACCACAGATGCCTTCGCAATTTAGCTCACATCTAGGAACACCGAGTAAGCAACGAGCGTGTTTGACGCCTTGTTTACGACACAAGAAAAAGGAATGAACCGCTGGGCACCGTTATTTCACGCACCAGGCTCCGATGGCTCGGCCACGTGTTACGCATGCCAGCCCACCGACTCCCTCGGCATGTATTGTTTGCGCGCCGGGGGTGTGGATGGAAGAAGAGGGCGGGCTGACAAGCGATGACTTGGTCTAGAGGAATGAAGGCCCTCACTTCGAAGCTGGCCACGGTTCGAGTGTTTCGGCTCCCTGGTTGGTGTCCGGAAGACGTTGAACATGTTCGGCTGGATACGCTTGCTGATATGGCTAGGAGCCGACCTCAGTAGCATTCGTGCTGTGAGTTTCTTTGTCTCACTCCATCCCTTTTAGTCTCCCTCTCCAACCACGATCTCACTACTTAGCCTTACACAGTTTTGCATAGTAATCTTTTTGCTGCATAGTAACCGGCTGGTATGTTACCGGAACGATGCCCATCCGTTGCCGGTATCTCAGCTGGCTTGCACTTGTCGCATTCTTTCCATTTTCTCTTTTATGTATTGCCACACAGTAGTTGAGGTGTTTCCCACCTCTAGCTAAAGTGTATAATGATGATGCTGATCTGCTGGCTTGGACATGTGCCCGGTCAGCGATTACTGAGAAGGACCTTGTTTTGATCGCCAGATTTATGTTGGCTCAAGTCTCGAGGTGGGCAAAAGTTGACTTAACAGTAGGAAATGAAACCACTGGATACTGTTAATACGTCTCGCCTTCCAGGCTGAAGTCCACCTGACCCATCTTCTGCTTGGCTTAAGACGTTACATGACTCGCAGTCGGTACAAGTGACGCGTCTGCTATCGTCTCATAGCCGGACTGCCTGTTTAAAGTGTGTTTGGTGCTGAGTTACCTGCGGGGTGCTGGCCAATTATGATGCGGAGCAGTGAGAGCTGATGCTGCGTTATCTTTGCACGATAGCCAGCTGTTTGTGACATGTTGTTGACTTTGACTCAGGACATTTAAGTCTTACTCTAGGGCCCCTTCTCTCCTGCTCATTATCGTTCGTTCCGTTGGTCATCGTTCAGTTCAAATGGCTGGTGTACTGCTGTTGTTGAGTTAATGCTACGTGTGTCTACTTGGCTCACCGTTTTTGTCTTTTGCATCCCGATCCTTTTGGATACTGTTTAGACTTCTTCTTTTATAGACTGGTAATGATTTGTCTTATCCATAAAGGAACACGCCGAATTGCTCTGTTACTCGCAATTCTCCCCTCTGACCCTTATAGACAGAACCAAGCCCTTGCTAAGCTGGACTATTTTCGGCGATCAAAGCGCACCTGCTCCTTGCACGAGCTCACAGCCGGCTTTAATCTGTTAGACTGAGACTGTATTTAAGAGCAAGTAGAAAGGTTTCTGTATAACTATCGAATTACGAAAAATCAAAATTTGCTTGTGAATTATCAGCAGTTGTGTCTGGTCCTTTAATCGTTTATCCGTGTTCGGTTAGAAATTTGCACTAGCGTCATTATTTCCGGACATACAATGTCTTCTTTTGGCACTGTATGTGCATCGTTTCACAAAAGCACAGGTTTCCGAAATAATCGTCGATACGAGTTTTAAAACACTTCACAGAATCGGCCTCTATTAATCCTTCTGGTAGTGTATTCCATAAGTTTACGATTCTTCGTTCAATACAAAGCTGATGTGATACTTTGTTCATGCTGGGGACCCTGAGTTTGTAACGATGTCCTCGGGTATCACAGGGTTCTCGCAGGTGAAATATTGGCCGCAGTATGGGGAAGTGATTCAAGTGTAGTACTCGATGGGTCATAATAAGATCAATTCTTACTCGGCGATAGGATAGTGTGTAGAGTCCGAGCCTTTCACAGCGTTTTTCATACGAAAGCTTTCGTAGATTTGGTATCATTCTAGTTGCGATATGCTGTATTTTCTCCAGCTTTTCAGTTTCCCATTGGGTTATCGGATGGTAAGCTGGGGCACCGTATTCAAGGATTGGTCTAATGAGCGAGGTGAATAGACGAGGGACGGTTTCTTCGGACCATGTGGAGAAACTGCGTCTTAATGCCCAGAGCATACGAAGTCCCGCACGGTACAATTTCTCTGTATTTTCTAGTGATCTTAAATCATGTCGTGAGAGAACTCCTAAGTCTCTGACAGATGTGTTGGGATGGAGCAACTGGCCGTCCAAGGTGTATGATCGAGTGGCTGGACGTCTGGTGATACTGATGAACTCCGACTTGCTTGCGTTAAGAGGGAGTTGCATTTCAGTGGACCACGTTGACAGTCGCTCTAAGTCATGCTGGAGGCGAACGCAGTCGTCCTGGTTTTCAATGATCCTCCAGATTTTCAAATCATCTGCAAACAGGACACATGGTGACTGGAGCTGCTGCGGAAGATCGTTGATATGAATAAGAAATAATACTAGCCCAAGTACAGTTCCTTGAGGCACACCACTGGTCGATGGGAACCATTCTATCAGATAGTCATTGACCTGTACTCTAAACCTTCGTCCCACAATAAACTCTTGTATCCACTGAAGTAACGTGCCCCCGATTCCGTATGTCCTCAGTTTACGAAGGAGTACCTCGTGGTTCACTCTGTCAAACGCCTTACTAAAGTCGATGTACACCACGTCAACATCCTTCTGTTCATTGAGAGCTCGAACCCACTGGTGGTTTGCGTACATCAAGTTGGTGATGCAGGATCGCCCTTTCGTAAAGCCGTGTTGCGCTGGCGTCAATACGTCCATCGATTCGAAGAACGACAGCAGACACTTTTTCACAACCTTCTCGAGCACTTTGGATAATACCGAAGTCAAACAGATCGGTCTATAGTTCTCTATTTTACTCGGATCACCACTCTTGGGAAGCGGTTTAACTATCGAGCATTTCCAGTCGTTCGGGCAGCATCTGATTATTGATAGTGACGAAACTAAATTTATGCATTCACCTAGCACCTATCCGATATCAAGTTGACTGACTGAATACAGGGTATACATTTCTTACCAGTTACATTACCTGCTTTGATCCTCCCAACAGTGGATCTGGTTCTTCTTAATGCCGTTGTACAAGCTTGCTAGGCTAGAAAGTCACGGAGCAACACAGTCTCCTGCTGCATACAGCGCGACTGGCCTTGACAAATGTTTGTGCAGTTGCTTTCCTTCTTGCCGTGGCCTAAGTTCATTCGTGCACTAAACGTCCACTGAAGTTGTCCTTTCTTATCATTGTGGTATATAACCAATGGGCTATCTGCGAGCGTCACGACGTATTTTCCATATTTCCCTCCAACTACCGTAGAGCAGCAAGATTCCTCCGTTCCACCCTACTTCTTTTGATCGGATTAAGTTACCATATTTTTTTACCGTTTTCGTCGCTTCTGACACTCCGGCTGTTGCCGTATTCCTGGGTCATGCCTGAAACCATGTACATTTTGTGCTGCACCTCCAGCCCTCTTCTTAATGATCCACTCCTATTCACGAACAAGAAGACCTGATATATTTTAGTTTGCATATTTCTCTCAGGCTGTCCGTAATGTGTATGTCGGTTGGCTCGGCACCTACCGTCCTGCTCAGGCTCCCGTGGTCTTATAAAATCCAATTACTTACTAGATGACAATAATAACGCTAGTCGTTGTTTTCTACCTTCGCTTATCTGCTTTAGGTATCTCGACTCTTCAAAATTTCGCATTACACTTCCTGTATATATCTCATCAGATTGGTGCTCTGTAAGACGTTCGCCGCTCTCCTCAGTGATTCATCAGACGCCAAAGCCAGCCTCTTGTCTACAGCCCTCCTCGCAAAATGTTTTTAACTGGATCGATTAGGTGCTGTCTGTTCGATCTGTGGTTTATTTCAGTGGCTTAGCATTTGCTTGCTTTCTGCTTGCGTGAAATTCTCCACGGAATCTACGGCGTTAATCTTTGTTCTTCCATGATCTGTGCACGACTACAGCCTCTCGACTTCATCAAATTCAATGTCGATTTTGCTTACAATGTAATGGCGCATTCGCATCATTTGTGCTCAGTACTGTTTATTTCTCACATTCAGTACCATTACGACTGCTTATTAACCAGTAGTTAGCCGAGTAACTATGCGCTAATATACCCCATTACTTCTTCATCGAGCTATCAGTTTGATGTCCCCCAACGCTGCCATCTCTTGTCGTTATACTCTCAGTGTACTGTAAATCGGCAGTCTCTTGGTGCCATTGCTGTTGACTGAAGCTCGCGTAAATACGTTGTGCAAATATTTTTAATCCACCAGCACAAGTCGTATATAAGCTAGAAAAAGAAACGAAAGTGATGCACTGATGGTAGATCTTAAAGTCGATTCACTGCGTTGAGTCATTCACCATAGAGCCCAAGTTTCCTACTTAAATCTGTCCGAACTAATTTTGCTTTCTTCCCTAACGAAATCATTATTTTGATCAGGATTTGCTTTCGTTGGATTCGAAGATGAAGAGGTTGTCAAAAACCTTATCCGCATGCACTATGTCAACTTGGACGGGAAGCAGGTAGGTCAGCATCTTTCGATTGCTCATGTTCTTCAGGTTGAAGTCAAAGCAATGGAACCTCCTATTGGCCATCGAACAGGCTACCCCATTGCGGTTGGCGGCTCTGCGCCTTTACAAACGAATGGCCGGGCCGTTCGCGGTGGACGCAACCACAATTTTCCTCAATTGCAACCAAGTGATCCATGTACGTAACATTAGTTACAGCTTCTCATTTTTCGCTTCTGCAAGAGTTGAGACCACTGTGCCTGCTGCATTCATTAACTCGTACAGTGAAAGTCACGCGCAACCGGTGGCGGCCACGCAGTAGTAAAGCGTCGGTGCTGCGTACCGGTGCACTTCTCATGCCATGTCCAGGTTAACATTGGTACAGAACGCTGGGTAGCTATTTTCATGGAATTGCAAATCCCTGAGTCTGCGTTCACAGATGGTTCGTATTTTCAGATGCAGTGGTTCTCCTGAAACATTTTAAAACGTTAGAGTTATAAATGTAACTGACGAATTGCCAAGTCTTGCCCGGGTCGATCGACAAAGGGTCTTGATGGCATGCACCTATTCTGGTCGCGGCGATACCGGAACACGTTCGCGTTTCACTAGCATTTTTTCCGAGACCAGTCTGCACAAAATACTGTAGAGAGTACCTCCCTCATTACACCGCGAAACATGGTCCTTTTGGATTTGGAGCTTACTTGCAACTGAATTCTGAAAGCAAAAAGAAGTTACCTACCTCTGGACATTGATGACTTTTCCAGGCGCAATCTCTCACAGAATGTCTCTCACCATTGTTTCAAGACTTAGTCGGAGGCTTCTGGCCCGGTACATTAGGGATTATATTTTGGCCAATAATAACTGCTTAACAGAACTGGGTTTCACTTCTAAGATGTGAAACTTCAACAATTTTGGATCCTTGTTCAAACTAAGCAGCCTGTGGCATTTAGATTCAATTTCCTGTGATGTCAGCATCGATTCCTGTTCCCATTTCATTTGGATATTGAGTTTTTTGACAGCAACTCAAATAATAGCCGCTATGACTTTGCAAACTAAAACGGCTACTGCTGAAGGATGAACTGCAACTGATCTATTGAAGTAGCCATGATTGTACAACACTTTCGTCGCCACAAATGTTGTGTCCAAGCTCCGGGACTGCTTGCACCCACTAACGGTAATAAGAACAAAAGCGACCAGGGACAAGGATTCCGTGATTTTTTTTGCATATAGAAACCACTTCGTTATACAGCCTGACGCATAAGCGTGAAAGCTAGTCAGAGTACGGAAAGCGTGCGGGCAACTAAAGCTGATGAGAACTTAACAAATAAGTAACCAATCGGGTGCACGCAAAGAACGGAAAGTAAGCGTGTTAGCCTCATAGTGGGGCTATAATCTGAAAGCAAAAACCGACTCAAACTAGCCAATAGGGATAGCGAAATGATACGTTACAACGAACATCAATGAGCTACCAGAGCCAAACAAAAGTCTGCAGTCATGAACGGTTACACAAGCATACCTGTGTTCTTCTTGCTTCTCTATAACTCCTTACCTCTAACTTGAACTCGCAACTTCCCGTTCAGCAATATCATGACGAACTGGCCCACCAAATGTCATTGTTGAGTGAGGTTGGTGAGCCGAACACTGTCTGCGGTCGTCTTAAATGTACCATGAAGAATGCCTTTGACGCATGCTATGCACCCACTTTGAATGGACCTCTGAGGCATCGATCAGTTTGATGGCCAGTGAGTTTCAGGTTGTCCTCAACTCCCTGAAAGGACGTCTGACAAGGAGTTTTAGAATCGACCGGGTACGTTGGTGGACGGCAAGGGCCTGTGAGACAGAGGAATCTAGCGCTACTGGGAACAGCTGTGCCGTCCCTCCTTTTCCGGAACACTAGTCCAAAAAAGCTATCCGTTTGCGATACGGTAGCTGAGAAAGACGGAGAGTTGACCCATTCTCACCATCGTCGACTAGCCCGTTGTGCAAAACATTTTGAAGAGCAGTTCAGCAGGCATACTGCGACACTGCCACTTGCCGAATCGTCTGAGTCGATGTAGTAAGTAAATGTCACACCTCCCAATTTGGAAGAGATTTGACCCGAACTTTCCTTATTGAAACCAAACAAGTATCCATGACCCGATGAACTTCCATCATTTCTGGAAGATGGTGGTGTATCTTTGTTGACTAGACTCGTTTCTCATCATCATCAACAGCAGTACATCAGCCATTTGAACTGATGCTTCGCTGCCATACAACCACGAGGACTTATGAAATATAAATAATAAGAAGAGGGAGAGAACGGGGACTTACCTGAAAACCTTAATGCCCTAAGCAAACATTCTGGGTCAAGGCGCCTACACCTTGTGTAGACAACATTCCGTCACAAACAGCTGGCTATCGTGCAAAGATAAGGCGGCATCGGCGAGACAGCTTCCTTGCGACTTTCACTGCCCCGCGTCATAATCAGCCATTACCCCGCAGATAACTCAGCACCAAACACACTTTAAACAGACAATCCGATTAGGAGACGGCAGCAGACACGCCACTGGTGTCGGTTGCGAGCCATGTCCTGTAAAGTCTCAAGCCAAGCACAAGGTGAGTCACGTGGACTCCAACCCGGAAGGCGAGACGGACCAACGGCACCCAGTTTAGTTGTCAGTGACTTCATTTCCCGCTGCCAAGTCAACTTCTGTCCACCTCGAGCCTTGCGCCATCCTACACCTGGAAGACTGAACAAGGCCCTCCTAGGTAAGCGGTGTCCAGGCATACGTAGCACGTGCCCGAGCCAACGCAACTTATTCAGTGCTATCTGTTGTTCTAGGGAGCTAGCATGATTATCACTATCTAGTACTCGCCCACGCACATCATCGTTGGGGATACGCTGGTGCCATCCGACACCAGCAGTGTTTCGCAAACAACGATGATCAAAGACTTGAAGGCGCCTCAGATCTTCAGACCGAAGGGGCCAAGTTTCACTACCATAAAGCAGAACGGCCCTCACTGTGGCCTTGTATACACGGCCTTTCAGACAGAGGGAAACTCCCTTCTGTCGCCAAAGGTGACGCAGGTTCAAGAAGGCAGCTCTGGCCTTTGCAATGCGTGAGCTCACGTCAGTTTCTATGCGCCCATCATTGCTGATGCAGCTGCCAAGATAAGTGAATTGATCAACCACCTCGAGTTCCTCGTTAGCAAGCGTCAAGGGGTCATCGAGTGGTTGGTGGTCCTGCAGCAACACTTTGCACTTTGAAGGTGCGAAGTGCATACCAAATAATGGGACCACTCTGGACAGGCTGTTCAGGGTTGATTGGGCCGCCCCAACATTGTCGAAAAGCAAGACGATATCGTCCGCATAATCTAGGTCAACTAACCTTTCACCAGGCAGCACTTCAACGCCTACATCGTTGGATTCCGCAAGGGAACGCTCCATGATAGAATCCACGACGAAATTGAACAAAAACGGGGAAGTCGGACAACCCTGACGAACGCCACTTGTAGTCGAAAAGCTATCTGATATTAGGACACCATAGACCCTGACGCGGCCTGTAGTGTTCGAGTATAGAGCACGAAGGATGTTCACATATTTCGTGGGAACACCTTTTCGCGCAAGTAATTCGAACAGAATCGATCGATCGACCGAATCGAACGCACTCTTGAAATCAAGGAACACAGCTATTGTCGGTCTGCGGTGTGCGTGGCGCTGCTCTAGCACCTGCCGCAAAGTAAATATATGGTCCATACAACCACGTCCTGGACGAAAACCGGCCTGCTCTTCCCTAATCCGAGATTCCCGTTCTGCAGTGAGGCGACGAACGATAATCGAGGCCAGTAATTTTGTCACAACTGGCGTTAGGTTAATAGCCCTGTGGTTCGCAAAGTCTGTGCGACTGCCCTTCTTGTATATTGCCACTATAATCGATTCGCTCCAATTAGCCGGCATATTCTCTTCATTCCAGATACGTTCGAATAGGGCGGTCAGTGCCCTGCAGAGGACCTCACCTCCATCCTTAACTAGTGCAGGTGGGAGGGAATCCGGGCCAGCGACACGAAAACGATTGAGGGCTGTGATCGCGTTTCGAACCTCTGCCTCCGACGGAGGCTCTAACCTAACCGTCCATGGCACGTCCTGCATCACCTGAGTAGGAAGAGGTCCGGGAGCAGGGGGCCAGCTGAACTGATCATTAAAGTGTTCCGCCAAACGAGCCATACGGCGTTCCTTATTGTGTATCAGCGCACGCGCTGTCTCTGATTGTCTCACTGACGCCTGGTTTTCTGGGACCAGTGGTGCGGATTAGCTCGAAGAGTTTCCGGTAATTGCCCACTGCTCCTGCCTCCTCCGTTTCTTCAGCCTAATGGGCCCACCAGGCTTCCTTGTCAGCACGTAGACTCCGCTTTAGTTCGCGCCTAATAGCCCGTCTGATCACATTGTGCTCAGGGCCAGCCGGGAGGTTTCTTCTAGATTCCAACAGGTTCACCGACCTCTCGGATATCCAGTGACTGGTGCCGTGACGACTGATAGTACCACAAGCAGATGCTCCTGCGTCGTGCATGGCGGCCGAGATTCTATTCCACTGAAGTTCAGTGTCATTGGGACAAGACAGCGAGAGTTCGCTATGCAGTGCTTCTTGATAGGCTTGCCTGACAGAGGGCTGGGACAATTTCTCAGTTTCCAATCGTAGGGGACGCTTAGTGCGCCTCCCCATAAAGTTCATGGAGAAACGACAGCGTACCAAGGCATGATCAGAGTCGACGCAGGTACTCCAGTACGAGCGACAATCCAGAATGGAACCGCGCCACCTGTAACTTATGGCTATGTGGTCAATTTGGGTCCATCGCTGACCAGCTACAGGTGGACGCCAAGTGGCACTTCGGCGACCACTGTGTCTAAAAGCAGTGCTACTAAGAAACAACTGGTGCTCCGCACACAGTTGCAGCAGACGCTCGCCGTTGTCAGTCCGTTCGGAGTTAAGCCCAGCTGAGCTTCTGAAGAGCTCAGACGCCCTACTTGTGCGTTCATATTCCCTGCAAGTACTATAATATCTGAACTAGTAGTACTGCGTAGCAGCGTGTTCAGTTGGTGATAGAAAGTGTCCTTGACTGCATTAGAACTGCAGTCGATGGGAGCATAAGCAGAAATCACAAACAGCGTTTTGTTTTACTTCGCGAATTCACCTTAGCTGATGTCGTCAAACGGGCTGCACATAAACGGCTGTTCACCGGAATCCAATCAACCAACGATGACTCAGCCTTGCAACTGAGAATGATACCTACACCAGCTTGACCCGTGAGTGCCGCATCGGCGTCTCCGGATGCGTGCAACCAATAACGAGAGGATAAGCCGGGTGCAGTCAATTCAATAACCCCATTAGGGTCATTAATCCTAGTTTCGGACACACAACACACATCAACTCCCAGTGTGTCCAAGGTGCGTGCGAGTGCAGCCTGCTGACCTGTTTGTCTTAGAGTGCGGACGTTGAATGTCGCCATGGAAACGGGACAGCGTGGCCTTGTAAAGAACTTTTGCCGATAGGCGTCCGATAGGTGCTTTGGGATGGTGGTTGCAGATGGTTCTACTCCAGTAGCACTTCGGTTGCTGTCAATTAAGCTGGGAATTATAGAAGGATGGTTAGTAATGGGGGCCGGGATGGGAGTAAGAGAAAATAGTGGAAAAGGAAGAAGGGAGGCGCCAGCAGTAGCATGTTTTCGCTTATCCGCCCTGCTGTATGCAACAGATAAGGCGACCCTTGATATTCTGCGCGACGGCCGGTGCAGGATGAGGTTTATGTTTGAAGAAAATGTCATGGTTGTATGTGGGCTGAGATACTGCCAGGGCGCCCAGACCTAGACAGGAGGACGATTAGGGTCCTCATCCAAAGCCTTTGGCTCAAAAGCCTGTCCGCAAGGCAGCGGTGTGGCAGTGATTTAGTTTTACAGGAATGGACGCCATCCCATTTCAAACCCCCAAGCTGGAGGACCAGGAGACTGAGTTTGTCTGACCTCTCACCATTGACCAACCTGGTAGGAGTAGCTCTCAAGATGCTCGGAGGCATCACCCAGTATAGCTCAATGGGTCAATGAGGTACGCAAACCGTCACACCACGTTAAGGTCCAGTCTCGTTGCGACGGAGACTCGTTTCTCTACTTAACACGATTCGGAACACTGAAGAAGTGCCTTCAGACTGGTGACCGTCAACTTTCCTGCCCATCACCAAGAGCGGTTATTGTACTTTCTGCGAGAATCATCGAGGCATTAGCCTTGTTTTCGTTGCCTCCAAACTTCTCACAGTTATCCTTCTGTAACGAATTACTTATCCCCGTGAGAACCGAATCACTGGTAACCAGGCTGGCTTTCTCCCTTGTCGTGCTTGTGTGTACCACATGTTTACTCTACGCCAACTTTTTGAGCAGTAACACACATCCGACGGTCAACTGTGGTGCTTTTCCTTGACTTGAAGCCACCTTCAACTCTGTTGACCCCGCCATATTGTGACACTGCCTAGCCATGAATGGTCTACCTGCATATTCCTTTCCATTATGCAGTCTCTACCGTGACTCCCGGGGCCGTGTAAAAGTCTGCGGGGAAACTGTCTCCTGGATTCCCCACCACTACTGTAGTTCCCCAGGGTTGTTCTGTATCTTCTTTCCTTTTCAATTTTGTTATCGAAATGATCATGAGTGACTGTTCTTTCAGAGTCTATCGGAGTGGAAGTTCTGCCAGGTGACCGACTGACAAACCTGGAGTATACGGACGAGAAAGTTCTTCGGCCTGACGCAGCGCCTGTGCCACTACTACACTACTGGATAGACTGACGCGTAGCGCTGCACACTTCCGCAAGTGCTTTGCACCTTCAAAGAGCAGAGTACTGCTGCAGAACTGAACCGACACACCTCCGATTCTAATTATCACCGATCAGCCACTGAAAGTTGTGGATCCATTCACTTGGCTTGGTAGCTGTCACCTCTGGGGATCGCGTTACTGTGAAAGTTACTTCGCTGTCAACAAGGCCCGTGTGGCTTTCCAGCGGCTCAACCATCTATGGAGACGGCGAGATAACGGCCTGTCAGTGAAAGGTAGGATGTATAACGCTGTGGTAAGGCCGGTCTCATGGATCCGACCTTGACCAGAAACCTGGCCTGTTCAGAATGAGGACATTAAACGCTTGGTCGTGTTTGACCACCGGGTGAGCAATGCTGAGGTCCGCCAGTTGGTTTTCAGCAATAAGCCTTCTGGTTCCTCACACAAGTGTTTACTGAATCTAGGCCATGTCCTTGTATGCTTCTTGACCGGCTTCCTCGGCGTGCATTATGCGCCGTGGCCCAATCAAGTTGTGTGAAACGGCGAGATAGTCAATCGATGACGTGGCACAAAGCATGAAGAAACTGACTCAGAGACTTGGTCACGCTGGTGCGTGCCATTTTCGTGGATGGGGGCCTCGGGACGGTTCACACCAATGGTTAGTGGCCGTATCAAACATGGCGCAGTCACGCAGCCAGTGGCGTTCTTGCATTCAGTTTCTTGCATCTGATTGTTGATTTTGGTCCCATTCTGATTAGTCTAATGCACTTCCTACTTGCTTCCATTTTCTTTACATTATATTTGCCTTTAACCCCACTGTCCTGCCGGTGTCATTTATTGTTATTCTTGGGATGCGTCGTGGCAACTGGATCCACCGCACTTCGGTGCTCAGCTCATAGTCGTCTAACTGAACCAAACTGTTGTGTCATCGTTTGGCATCAGCAGTACTCCGGTACTCAGTATCGACGCTTCGCCGCCGCGCAATCACTACCGGTCGGACGTGGGCTAGGATACTACGAGAGTCGCCCTGCATCTACGCACGCTCTAACCTGCGCCGCAAGTTTACGAGACAGGCTCGTTACCTCTAGGCTACGGGCTGGAGACGTTAGCAGTAACTATGCATTGAGGATGGATTTCTCATTTGCATGACTCGTATCGGTAGCTTTGTCGCTACTCTCAATCTAACCTTCCCGTGCTGATGGATCTTTTCGAAATGATTACATTTGACAAATGTTCTTTCTCCTACCCACTCGCCATTGCTCTTCATCTCGATCTCATCCATTACCGTGTGACATAGCTACGTACATTGTTCATACTCACGGATACACTGCTTCGTTCATACAGGTGCATCCTTTTATTTTGTTTCGATTGATATTTTTGCTGCACTGCTGCTGATTTTTTTCCATCGAGACCATTGCTCCATTGTGATTTCGGTTTTCTTTTATTGGAATAACACCGCATTCATTTATCGTTAATGTCACCGCCACGGCTAATCGATCGAATGTCTATTTATCACACCTCATTCATTTCGCATATTTGATTAACTGAGCTGGGTACATCACCGCTGTTACTGATGGCAGTGGACGCCTAGCTACTAATCAAGGAATTGACTTGTTTTCCTGCAATACGGCCGCATCTCTCAATCCGCGCCGACCAACGTCGTCATAGCCCTTATTAGACACCAGATCTTTGAGTTATAATTCCCGAGTCCGTTGGCTGCTGTTATCTGATGCATCACATTTGCCCTACTTAGTATGTTACTAGTCTTGTTTCACCGTGACAGCTTTATTAACCTCCTCCTTTTTACATCTGATAATTTGTCATCATTGGTTGTTGTTTCTTTGCTTAGATGTTCCTTGGAATCAATGGCCTGGCATGGGAAGCGGAAGTTGGAACGCCGCCGGTGGTCCCGTAGGACCTCATCCTGCGTGGAACCCGCAGCAAGTAGGGTGGAGTGGTGGTACTAGTAACGGCGCTCCGCCAAGCGCTCACCATGGAATGCAACCTGGAACTGCCGCGCATTTGTCTAATCTAGGTCCAGTCCATGGTGTGGGATGGCCTCAGCAACCTGGTCCTGCTGCTAACGGCTGGTTGCAACCCACCTGGAACTCACAGTTTGGCGCCTCATCGACCAACAATCGGGGTGAGTTTTTTATTTTTGTGGATATAGTTGTACAGCCTGTGTTTACGGAGCGACAAGCAGCATTTATTTAACGACTGCGATTTAGCAATCACCAGGAACAGCAACGTGGCAATGTTTTGCACCGCTCATTCACTGCCAGAAAATCACAAATTATAGGCTAACTTTACTAATGCAGAATACCTGGAGGACTTATGGTGGTTGATCTGGTGCCTAACTACGCCAGCGGTAATCCCTTGGAATCTAGGCAAGTACATTTTACCCACACCATCCGATCTCAAACAGCTAGCTATTGTGTGGCTCGGAACATCGCTATTAGACTGGAGGTCTACGCAACCTTTTCGTACCAATCAACGCATTCATCTATTAGTTTCATTGGAGCACGTGTCTCTCGTAATTTGGGTTACTCTCAGCATGGTTGTGCTTATTATGCTTGATTTACTACACTGCTTATTTTTTGACGCCTGCTTAAAAAAACTGGTACCATGCTGATGGGTGTCAGATGTCAGACGAGTCCTTTCATCCATCTTGAAGATTTCGATCGAATTCCATTGATCATCTTGGTACTACACATTGTTTATTACATATTATAGTAAATAACGTAATTTATTTTTCCAAAATGATGCCTTTCCACCAGCTTATCTCTATTTGGCTGACAGTCGTCGGAGCTTCGGCATGTACTTTTTCAACCTCGAACCTTTCACCTTTTCTTACTTACTATTTCCCCACCTATCTAGATCCGCAGTTTCTTTTGCCGTGGTAACTTCTCTGCTTAAAGATCCATCACGACGAGACTAGAGCTTAAAATGACACGATGGGTTGTTTCCTCTTTCATTCACTAAACCGCACTCCCCGAGTGCCTTCACTTCGAATTTTACCGGATGGGTTAATACTTGGCGATCATCTTATCGCCATCTCAGCATCTTCTTAATGTGAAATCGTGGGTAGTGTCTAGCCATAGAATGTAACCACAGGATAAATAATAAGAAATGGATTGTCAGCTGTAATCCCTAACGGCGCTTCGCTGCCGCGCGACCACCATTCGCGTGTAGGGTGGGTATACCGCGAAGACGCCTGCTCCTGCGTGGATTCGAACCGGTGACTTTATGATTGCAGGCCAGGCGTGCAGACCACTCGGCCACCGGCCACAGGAGCTAACAGTTGTTTGGCCACAAGCTCAGTTCGGTTAGTGGATGTTTTCTTCAGCAACAGTATCAATACAAAAAACCATAATTTTACTAATTTCACTCCACATTACTCAGGCCCGTAATTCATGCGGCATCACCGACAACGCAAAGGCGTTGTACACTTCGCATCAAATTGACATTTTGTTTAAATTCATCTGTCCGCAATTTCTCTCACCATTCAAGGTTTGGGAGATGATGCGTCCCTGCTGAGCTATCAGCAACAGCAGCAGCATCAACGAAAATCCCAAGGAGCATGGGATCCACTGTGCTTTGCAGCTCTGACCTCCAGTTCTAACTCAGGATCCAACCACAACGATTCGGTCAACTCGCTGGAGTCCTGGAATTCTGCTGCTGCAAATGCGTTGTGCCAATTGGCTCCTCTCTCAATTGGCTCAGGTCTCGCCCATACGAGCACTGGGGCTGCCGATTGGAATCAAGCTCCTGCACCGGGCTCGGTGTCTAATCAACATTGGTCAGCGTCAACTACCATGTCAATGGTAGGAACAAACTCTATACAACATGGCAGCGCTACTCCCAACGGTATGCAGAGCGGATATTTAAATGATCAGTCAATTGCTGCTATGGCCGCTGCTGCTGCCTCCTTTGGCATGAGAAGATCTGGAAACTCTACCGTGCCACATTGGGCTTCCTCCACCTCCGGACATAGAGATGTTGGTAAGTATCTCATATTTAATCTCAGAAGAGAATATAAACAATTATTTACTGTATTTGCTAGAGGATCCATCTCCAGACACAGGCCGGCAAGTGGATACATCGTCAATGCACCGTCACGACGAGACTGCATCTTAACGTGGTGTGACAGTTTGCGTACCTCGTCGACCCATTGAGCTATACTGGGTGGGGCCCTTGGGCCTATTAAGACCTACTCCTACCACCTTGGTCAATGGACGAACTCAGTATCCTGGTTCTTCCAGGTTGCGGTTGGAAATGGGATGCCGTCCATTCCTGTAAAACCGAATCGTTGCCACATCCGTTGCCTTGCGGACAGACATTTTAGCCAAAGGCTTTGGTTGTGGATCCTAATCGTTCTGTCTAGGTCTGGGCGCCCTGGCAGTATCTCAGCCCATGTACAACCATGACCTTTTTTCCAAAATTCAATCAAATCCTACATTGGCCGTCGCGCAGTTTATCAAGGGTTTCCTTATCCGCTGCATACATGAAGGCGGATGAGCGAACAAATGCTACTGCTAGCACATCCTTTCCAACCGTTTCTTTTACTCCGCACCCATTCCCTATTACTAGCCTTCCTCCTATAATTCCTAGTTAACTTGACAGCAACCGCAATGTCACTGGAGTCATACCAACTGCAGCTATGTTCCGGCACCACCCACTGGGCACAGTGTCTCGTTTCCCCGACGGTGTTCAACGTTCGTACTCTAAGCCAAATAAGTCGAAAGGCTGTACTCGCACGCGCGTTAGACACGCTGGGTATTGACTTGTGTTGTGTGTCCGAAACTAGGATCAATAACACCAACGGGGTTGTTGAATTAACTGCACCTGGTTTGTTTTCTCGCTATCGGTTGCATGCATCCGGAGACGCGGATGCGACAACCACTGGTCAAGCCGGAGTGAGCATAGTTCTCAGCTCCAAGGTCGAGCCATCGTTGGTTGATTGGATTCCCGTGAGCAGCCGTTTATCTGTAGTTTGTTTAACATCAATTAAGGTTGGTTCACGGAGTAGCACCAGACGCTGTTCGTTAGTGATTTCCGCTTATGCTCTCGCCGACTGCAGCTCTGCTTCTGCGAAGGATGCTTTCTGCCGCTAACTGAAGACGCTGCTACGCAGTGTTACCATTTCGGACATCAAAGTTTTTGCAGGGGGTGTGAATGCGCAAGTAGGGCGTCTGAGCTCTTCAGAAGCTCAGCTGGGTGGTAATTATGGGTTAAACTCCGTACGGACAGACAATGGCAAGCGTCTGCTGCAACTATGCGGAGCACCACTTGTTTCTTAGTGGCACCGCTTTTAGACATAGTGGTCGCCGAAGTGCCACTTGGCGTCCTCCTGTAGCTGGCCAGCGATGGACCCAAATGGATCATGTTACTATAAGTTAAAGGTGGCGTTGTTCCATCCCGGTTTATCCCTCATACTGGAGTACTTGTGTCGACTCTGCTTATGGCTTGATATGCTGTCGTTTTTTCATGACCTTTATCGGGTGACGTACAAGGCGCCCCCTTTGGTTGGCAACTAATAAGTCATATCAGTTATCAGTCAGGCAAGCCTAGCAAGATGAACTGCGTACCGAACTTTCACTACTTTGTCCTAATGACACTGAGCTTCAATGGAATAGGATCTCGTCCGCCATGCAACATGTAGGAGCCTCAGCTTGCAGCAAAATCAATCGTCACCGCATCAATCACTGGATATCCGAGAGGTCGACTGACTTGTTGGAATCCAGAAAAAACCTCTTGACTGGCTCCGAGCACAATGTGACCAGACGGACTATTGGGTGGGAAGTAAAGCTGATCCTGCGCGCTGACAAGGAAGCCTGGTGGACCAGTCGGGCTCAAGAAATGGAGGAGGTAGGGGTAGCAAGCAATTATCCCAAGCTCTTCAAACTGATCCACACCACTGGTCTCATGAAACCAAGCGTCAGTAAAACCGTCAGAGATAGCGCGGGTGCACTAATTCACAATAAGGAGCGCCATATGTTCCGTTGGACCAAATATTTGCGGAATCTCACGATGCATGCGTCGAGTTGCTGCCTAGTGAAAAGCTAGCTAACATTGTTTACGCGGACGATATTGCCTTGCTTTTTAACACTGTTGAAGCGGCACAATCAACCCTGATTAGGCTCTCTATTGTGGTCCCGTCATTTGGCATGCACTTCGCACCTTCAAAGTGCAGTGTTGTTACAGGACCACCGGCCACTTGATGCTCCCTTGACTCTTAATGGCGAGGAACTTGGGATAGTTGATCAATTCACTTACCTCGGCAGCTGTATCAGCAACGATGGATGCATAGAAACTGAAGTTCCTTCACGCGTTGCAAACGCTAGAAATGCGTTCTTGCATCTACGGCATCTGTGGCGTCAGAAAGCATTTTCCCTCCATCTAAAGGTCCGTGATTACAAGGCCAGAGTGAGAGTCGTCCTACACTATGAAAGCGAGACTGCCCCTTCGCTCTGATGATCTGCGGCGCCTTTAAGCTCTTGATCATGTTTGTCTGCGAAGCGTTGATGGTCTCGGATGGCACCAACTTGTCCGCAACGATGATATGCGTAAGCGAGTACCAGGTAGTGATAACCAGACTATTTCCTTGAAACAACAAATAACACTGGATAAATGAGAATACCCGTAGCTCGGAATGTGGATCCCGATTTTGAGCTGTTCACCGAACTGTGATCATTTGCCAGACAAGGCAACATCATCAATGCGACTTCAGGGGCCTGATTTGCAGTGTCTCGTAAGAGACTTCGAGGTCCATGGGCTTATTGATCGGGTTCTGCTTTGAATGCCAGGCTTCAATGAACTCACCTCCTTGTCGGCTTTTGACCCTTACGAGGATGACGGCGTGCTCCAGGTCGAATTAGGGGTTCTCGGCACCCATATGCACTGACGTTAAGGAGTCCTGATCGTGGCGACGAATGACTAGGTTGTGTTCGTGTAGCCTTGTGCCAAGCTTTCTCCCAATCTGCCCCACGTAGCGTTTGTCGCAGTTCCGGCAGCAGACTATAAATCACACCAGTTGTAACTTCTTTGCAACCTGCATCTTTCATTTTGTAGCTTCTGGTACGAATTGTCTCCGTTGCCTAGTGTACAACTTTGACTCCAAAAGGTAATAAAAGCCTCCCTGCCATTTCAGAGATTCCGTTGGTATAGGGCAAAGCGGCTCTCTTTTCAATTGTTGCATTTTTCTTGGCATATTGGTGAGTCTTTTGTGGCGCGAGACAGCGTAGAGTGAAGCCTTTTGGATACGACTTCCGCTTGAGCAGACTGAATAGATGGTCTTCCTCCGCCTGTCTCAGCTACGATGTGCTACAATGTGTTTGTGCTCTTTTGCAAAGGGTTCGCACGCAGCTGCGTTTATGGGCTGCCGGATGGTTGCTGCCATAGTTGAGGATCTGGTCTGTATGCGTAGATTTCTGCAGACTCGTTTCCAATCTTCCAGCACCAGTCCTACGTATATTAACGCCTACCAATGCTAACTGCTCGTTGTTCTCCTTCCTGGTGAATTGGATGCCATCGAACACACTTGATTTGCTCGTGTGTTTTCTCCATTTTGGAGCACTTGAAGATGACAAATATGTCGTCCACTTATCGTACCCAAAGTTTTAATCTCACGCTAGGAAATGTTATCTACTCCAACGCCTGCATCACTGCCTCGGCTACCAGACCAGAGATCGGCGATCCCATTGTTATCTGTTCTTACATTTGGCCATTGAAAGTGAAATGTGTTGTTAGTCAAAATTCCAGTAATTCCATCGTTCGTTTGGCGTCGAGTTTACTGCTTGTATCGGACGACGTGTGCTCCTCTAGCAGGCGCGTAATTGTTTGTTTCGCCAAGCTGATGTCGATTGAGGTGAACATAGCAGTTTCATCAAAATAGATCATATTTTCGCCCCATTCTATGGTTGCGGTTTTAAGTTTTTCAAGAAACTGTTCCATCGGATTGCTTGAGTGTTTTGATCCCCCAATTAGATGTTTCAGCCTTCTCCAGAGTTCCTTTGCTGCTTCCTTTGGTGCTCCAGGTAATAACACGATGGAGCGAAGAGGCACTCCGCTTTTGTGTACTTTAGGTACGCCGTAGAAACGCAGCAGTACCGAGTCCTGTGGTTGCATCATCTTGTGTTCCAATGTTTTGATTTGCCCCATTTGTTCCAGTCCTTACAGAATGTGTCTAATGTTGCCTTCTAATCGTTTTGTCGGGTCCTCGTTTATCGGGTGGTATGTGTTGATATCACTGAATAGGTGTAGTGTTTTCATCATGTAACCGGCTTTGTTTATTATAACAATGAGGCTTCCTTTGTCGGCCGGTAGTATAACTATGCTCTCGTTTTTCTCGAGGCTCCCCAGAGTGTTTCGTTCAGTGACCTTCAATATGTTTGTTTCAACTGTATGACTAAGAGCCGATGGGAGATGTTGTGGCCTTCTATGTATCGCGAACGTGCCAATCTCAAAGCCCAAACCTTTGACCCAAAATAAAAGTTAAAAGACGTTAGCAAAGAACACTTGCGAGAAGACAACACGAAGGACATAGGGGACGATTTCATTAGTTTATTAAGTCCTGCACAATGACCTTGAAACTATAAATGTGGAAAACTGTCCTTGGTTGAAGCAAGGTCACGACCACGAGACAAGTGAGCCGGAATATGCTGAACCCTCTATCCGACCGATTTCGTTAGTGTCTTCGTCCCCGAACAGGAGAGGTGTGCCAGTCGGCAATCATCCACTGACGAGCAGCTCTATTTCCTTTATGAATGCTTACCTAGACAAGTTTTTCTGCCGAATCTGCACTGCCGTCTTCCAATCAACCATCCTTTGGCTTGGAAATTAACGGAACAACATTGGCGAAGAATGCTACGCCTGTTGATTACGGGTGCACACAATCGGAAGCATAAATGCCACATGATGATTGATCAGCAGGAGGCAATTCGCTTATCCAAATTAGGATCATGATTGGCTGAATAATTGGAAAACGCGATAGCCTTCAAAAC